TCTCTGCATAAGTGGAGCAAAAATATTATATATATTTGCATCGTTGAACATTTTGCATTTTAAAATCTTGGTGGAAATTCATTTGTAATTCAGAAAACTCGATATTAATTCTTATGCAGTTCATCGTCATTTTCGAGGGAATCTATGAGTAAGTGAAGTTTGGACGTCAATATTTACTTCAAAAACTCTTGTAATATTTCCAAACGAAGTTATCTCTTTTCAAAATTTTGAGCCAGAATAATCCTCGAAACCGCTGTGTGTTCCATGGCAAGGTTTTTTTTGGAAAATTTTACAAATAAGGGTCATCATATTCAATTGAAAAAATTGAATTTGATCGACGCAAACCAACCTGAGCCTTTGTAAATCACAGTCCAGTGGAATCCCGGCGAAGAACTTCGTTTGCCCTCCAAAATGTATTTGTTTGAAACAATTTCTGAATCACTTTGACTCGCAACAGGTATTTTCACGGCTTCCCAACGAACAATAGTGAAACCCGTGGAACCTTGTTTTAGCACAACAGGTGGGTCAAGTTTATGTGGCCTGAATCCTGAAAAAAAACACAAAAAACACAATGGATGAAGTAGTTCAATTTTTTTCTCAACAAAAGCACCACCGACCTATTGTTTTGTAATGAAAAACAGTTCCAGGGCCAAATTGCGACTGAAAATGCACGTTTTCCAAGAATATTTCGAAGGAATAGTTTGTTTTTGGCTGCAGACTTCCAATTTCTACCACAGTTGACGCCTTGAAATCAACCTCCTGAAATAAATAAGAAATTAATTTTAAAACATTAGAACAATCAATTTCCATCAATGTTTTTGGAAATCAGTCTATAGAGGAACATTACCTTGATCAAACAATCTTGTGCCAATTCTCCAATATCATGATGATCCTCGAACGATGACGTTTTGATGGAATGCACAGACTTGACTTGTTGCAGCAAAAATTCGGCTTTTGCAGTGAATTTCGGCTCAGCTTTAATCACTGCGTGATGGCAAATTTTGAAAAAGTAAGTCGGTTTGGAAATGGGCTGGAAATTAGAACATTCCGGATGGAATTTCGGTGCTTCGAAAGCCAAACTCAGTTTCACTGGGGTTTGAGCTGCGAGTTTCGGCACTGGTTTGTACTCCACAGGTTTCAAACATTCGAACACTGAAAAAATAATAATGCATAAATATTCAGAAAATGTGAAAAAAAAATTGNACAGCCAGCAGTCTCAAAATGTGCTCATGCTTGAACTGCAACATCCTGCTGGCTTCAAACAGGAAATCAGATCTTTCCTGTGCAGTAGCATTCTTTCTTAAAGCCTGCATAAAAAAAGAAGAAAAGAAATAAATATATTGATTTTTTCAACGCCAAGCCTCAATTATTAGCAAATAACATTAAAATTATTCAAACCTTGACAGCGACTTTGGTTCCTTCGGGGTCACAGTGACCAGGTAACCCCTTGGCCAGTCCCTCAAAGACTTCGCCAAAGGCCCCCGAGCCCAGGAATTTCGTCAAGGTTATGTGTTGTCTTCTTATTTTCGGCAACAAGCCCATTTCTTCGGCAGTGGGGCCTCCAGCAGCGCCATCTGTGCCGTCGTCCATGTCATTGCTGGGTCTGTAAAACTCGTTGGTTTCCTCAATGAACCTCGCGTGTCTTGGCAGGTCAGTCAGTGTTGCCAAATCGTGTCCAGCCCCTGGGAAATTTGGGGAATTGCTGAATTGCCTGGCCTTCAGCTCGCTCCTTCTTTTCACTTCAAGAAAAACAAAATTATTCCCATTTTTTAAGACTATAAATTCTCGAGAGAAATGAAGATGATAATTCCTTGAGGAATTATCTTATGATAATATTGTACTGCAATACCCTAACTAAGGTGGAAAGGATTGCGAGTCAAGATTATAATATATTAAATTCAATACATGAAACGCGTGTAGATTAAAAAAAAATGAAATGTAGCAATTTTGTACAGAATATTATGAATGAAATAAGTTTACGAATAATTTTGTGTACCAATACGCTGTTGAATTAATTACTGAAAAAAAGTATCCCAAAATTTGGGAGTAAAACACTCAAAGAAAAAAATTTATTCACACTTTGTAAACTATAAATTCTTGAGAGAATTGAAGATGATGATTCCTTGAGGAATTTTCTCATGATAATATTGTTGCATGATAATAATGTTGCATTTCCCCCAAATCATGAATTTTTTTTTAATTAAAAAAGGAATGTTTTTGAATGAATTACTAAAAAATAATGTATTCTAAATATAAAGCATAAAAAGCCTCAAGAAAAATATTCCACCCAATCTTGAATATTTTCAGACCAACACGAAAACAAATTTTGTTCATTTTCTATTTCAACTTTTCTTTAAAATTTTAACAAGGAAAAAAATTCCCTTCAACAATGTTTTTTTCCTGGAATATAATTTTAAAAAAAATCACAGTTACCTAAAAGACATCCGTAAGCAGCCAATGCAATTATGACAACTGCCAAACAAGCAGCGCCGACCACAACTGCCAATTCCGCAGTTTCCGTCAGCATTGCCAACGGTTCAGCATCCAACAAGGACTTGCTCGGCTCACTGAATTCCCCGAGCCCGAATTCATTTTCGGCGGCAACTCTGAACACCCACTTTTGATCGTTTTCCGACGTGATGATGGTGCCACTTGTGGTGTCCTTGATGGTGCTGGTGGTGTCGTTGACGATGGTTCCGAGGTTCCTCGCTTCGCGTTGGTGCGTGAAATTGTACGAAGTCTCTGCATAAGTGGAGCAAAAATATTATATATATTTGCATCGTTGAACATTTTGCATTTTAAAATCTTGGTGGAAATTCATTTGTAATTCAGAAAACTCGATATTAATTCTTATGCAGTTCATCGTAATTTTCGATTTTCGAGGAAATCCAAGAGTAAGTGAAGTTTGGACGTCAATATTCAGTTCAAAAACTCTTGTAATATTCCCAAGCGAAGTTATCTCTTTTCAAAATTTTGAGCCAGAATAATCCTCGAAACCGCTAAGTGTTCCATGGCAAGGTTTTAGGAAAATTGTTACAAATTCTCATCATATTCGATTTAAAAAAAATTGAATTTGGTCAATGCAAACCAACCTGAGCCTTTGTAAATCACAGTCCAGTGGAATCCCGGCGAAGAACTTCGTTTGCCCTCCAAAATGTATTTGTTTGAAACAATTTCTGAATCACTTTGAGCCGCAACAGGTGTTTTCACGGCTTCCCAACGAACAATAGTGAAACCCGTGGAACCTTGTTTTAGCACAACAGGTGGGTCGAGTTTATGTGGCCTGAATCCTGAAAAGAAATTAAGAAAAAAAAACAATGGATGAAGTAGTTCAATTTTTTTTTTAAAAAGCACCACCGACCTATTGTTTTGTAATGAAAAACAGTTCCAGGGCCAAATTGAGACTGAAAATGCACGTTTTCCAAGAATATTTCGAAGGAATAGTTTGTTTTTGGCTGCAGACTTCCGATTTCTACAACAGTTGACGCCTTGAAATCAACCTCCTGAAATTGAAAAAAAATTAATTTTCAAACATTAGAACAATCAATTTCCATCAATGTTTTTGGAAATCAGTCTATAGAGGAACATTACCTTGATCAAACAATCTTGTGCCAATTCTCCAATATCATGATGATCCTCGAACGATGACGTTTTGATGGAATGCACAGACTTGACTTGTTGCAGCAAAAATTCGGCTTTTGCAGTGAATTTCGGCTCAGCTTTAATCACTGCGTGATGGCAAATTTTGAAAAAGTAAGTCGGTTTGGAAATGGGCTGGAAATTAGAACATTCCGGATGGAATTTCGGTGCTTCGAAAGCCAAACTCAGTTTCACTGGGGTTTGAGCTGCGAGTTTCGGCACTGGTTTGTACTCCACAGGTTTCAAACATTCGAACACTGAAAAAATAATAATGCATAAATATTCAGAAAATGTGAAAAAAAAATTGTGAATTGTACTGAATTTTTTTTACCTTCTTTTGGGAAAGGCTGGTCCAAGGTGAATAAAATTCGAGGATTCAGCAAAATTCCGGGAGATCCTTTGTCAAACAGATCTTTTCCGTTTCCGTCGACAGGACTTTCGTCAGTCCTCAAAGAATGAAGACTATCAGCATTGAACCAATAGACATTTCTTCCAGGAATTGCCAACGATCTCGGAGAATGATCTGCAAAATTTTTGCCGAAATGTCCAGAATTCAAAGCCTCCATAAAATGTTTGCATGCTAAAAAAATAAATCCCAACCTCTTCCTCGCTTGCTGACGAAACTCAGCAACTTTCTGCACTGGCAACCATCCGAACTTGATTCCCAAATTTCATCTGCTTTTTCATCATAAAAAATGGCTTTTCCGAAACGCGATTTTTCGCTGAAATCCAAAGCGAATGGCCCAGAAGAAGCGTCAGCCGATTCTGCGAATTTGGCACAACTGCAGTTTTGCTGGCTGTTGAAAAATGGCTTCAACTGAAAATCCTGGTCGATAGATATTTTCAGCATCTTCTGGAATCCGTCTTTTCCTTCTTCTGCCAAGACCAATTCACTGCAAAACAATGTCATTTTCCAAGACGTTTAAATAACATTTAGAACAAGCAGAAACAAAGATGGAGTCAGATTTTCCCTCCTGAATTTCAAAAAATATGCGTGTAATTATGCGTTGCAAGGGATTGAGATTTTTGTAATTTTTACTGGACCATAAATATTCGTAATCAAAAATAACGAATTCTTTTCTATTTTCACTAGACCCAGTTGAAATGGAGAATATAAAGTTTTATAAATTAAGGCAGTCCAAGGGATACAAAATTACGTACAAATGTTTCCATCAGTGACTCTATTTCAGATCCGACTCTCATTATATTTGCTTAAAGAATGTTTTATAATAAAGTTGAACCTCAAGAACTTGAACTTCCCTAAATCGATTTTTTTTTCAGATCCCTGCTGGAATCCCTTTAGAATTGATGCCTTAAAAACCCTAAGGGTCAAAGGCTTTTTCCCTCAAACCTCCTCAAGTCGAATTTTCTGTGGCCTTTTGGCTTTTATTTTCTTGACAAGAAAAAGAAAAAAGCAAAAAAAAAACTAGAAATTCATGTGTTCTAAAAGGAAGTGAAAGATTTAATTGGGCAAATGAACCCCGACCTCCAAGTTCAGCATCCTTTCAACTCATTTATGAAGCAATGTAAGCCCCAAAATATCACAATTTTCAATTTTGGGCAATTTTTCTATGTTTCCCAAAACAAAAGGGCTTGGTATTGTAGCTGAACTCAAAACTAACCCAAGTCAAAACCTCCCTTTTTTTTTGCTGGTCCCTTGAAATTAGACTTATAGAGAGGTTCAACAATATTTTATTTGCAATTTTATTAGGATATCATGCTGAATGTGTACGCATAAGTTCCCGAGAGATCTGCAAGAATATAAGCTATAGAAGTTTTCCGAATATAATTTTAAAAAAGTATTAAACTCCAAGAAAATAAATTAATTGGGTGTTTAAAACTGTAGGAGAAACAGTTTTGAACTAACCTTTGGTTCATTTGCATGAAAAAACAAAATAAATTAAAAATTGAAATTTATTTTATTACCTTTTGAAAGGATTAAAGTGCATTGAATGCACTAATCCGAGTCCTCGATCAGCCACAGTTTGTTCCAAAATTGATTCTTTTTCCACTGCACTCAAATCCAGTCGAAAAATTGAGCCATGTTCCTCAGACCAGTAAATGTATCTTCCGATCCAATCAAATGCCATCGCTGTTGTTTTCTTCTTTCTTTTCAAAAGCTGTGAAATGAAATCAAGTAGTCAATCCCTCGCCGTTTTTTTTCATGATTCTCAAAATTCTGTGCAAACCTGTTGATGATCTTTGTAAATGTAAAAGTCCCCGTCAGCCCAGAAAGTCTCGTTTTTATGCGAATCATGAACAACCGCTTCTGGCCATGACCTCAATTTGGTCAGAAAGCTCGCATAAATTTTGCTCGTTTCCGCGTCAAGGACCTTAAAAAAAAGGTCATAAAATTTAAAGAATTGAAAATTAATAATTTCAATTGGGAAAAATGTAGCGAACCTCGACTGAATCTTCCGATGCGACGCCAAGCAAGGGAAGTTTTTCCAATTTTGCAAGACTTTCCTTGCGAAAAATCAGCGGGTCAGAAAAGTTACTTCCCATGGAATTCCTTACTTCAACTTCCTTTCAGCATAAACTCCAAACCTTTAGAGGCGACTTAACTTAAAGACTCGGTAAGCAAAGGAAAACGTTTTATTAAAACAGAGGTCTAAAGTAGGTTTAACACATCGGGTCTTTTTCAGGCACGTACTTTTTCGGCTTCTCCCATCTCAATACAAACTGGTCCTGAAAATTGCACAGAATTCTTAAAAAGTGTCAAGTTTTTCAATCGTCATTCAAATCATCATCAAAGCAGTACAGTATTTTCAAGTTTTTTTTTAAATTATAATTGTAGTTTTTAAAATTTTAGATTCTAGACAGAAAAAATTTCCCATCTATCCTGAAAAAAATTTCCGAAGAAGGATCCAAAATATTATAATGTTCAACGCTATTTTACAATCAAACCGCAAATTCTAAAAATCACGCGGGCTCATATTTTATTTCCAAAAAACTTTGGTGGTCATACTTAGAAAAAATTTGAGACACTCAATTGAAGAAACATCTTTGTTGACAATGCATAAAAATTTACACGGATCTAGAAAACATACCTTTACATTTGGTAGCCGAAAAATTTGCAAATTTCCCGGGGCTTCAGGCAACTTTTCAGGCGTCGATAATTCAGCAAAAGTTTCTGCCGATTTTCCCCATAAAGTGTGAGCAATTATTGTAAGCGCAGTTGTTGCTGCTGGCGGTGGCAAATTTTCAAATTCAAATGAACTTCGTCCCGTGATAATCTGAAAAAAAAATTATTTCAATTTTTTGACAGATTAACCAACAGTTCTTGGGAGAACACAATATTTACNGGAAAGTCGTATTTGAGGTTTGGAAATCTCCGCTGAATTGAATTTCTGAGCCATTCGTTTCCTTTTGCAAAATAATTTTGTCTCCAGATTTCATCCAAATTGTGTAGCCCAGAAAAAGTCCGTGCATTTTTTTCGGTTTCTCCCATCTCAATACAAACTGGTCCTGAAAATTGCACAGAATTCTTAAAAAGTGTCAAGTTTTTCAATCGTCATTCAAATCATTATTAAAGCAGTATTTTCAAGTTGTTTTTAAAATTATAATTGTAGTTTTTAAAATTTTAGATTCTAGACAGAAAAAATTTCCCATCTATCCTGAAAAAAATTTCCGAAGAAGGATCCAAAATATTATAATGTTCAACGCAATTTACAATCAAACCGCAAATTCTAAAAATCACGCGGGCTCATATTTTATTTCCAAAAAACTTTGGTGGTCATACTTGGAAAAAATTTGAGACACTCAATTGAACGAACATCTTTGTTGAAAATGCATGAAAATTTCCACGGATCTAGAAAACATACCTTTACATTTGGTAGCCGAAAAATTTGCAAATTTCCCGGGGCTTCAGGCAACTTTTCAGGCGTCGATAATTCAGCAAAAGTTTCTGCCGATTTTCCCCATAAAGTGTGAGCAATTATTGTAAGCGCAGTTGTTGCTGCTGGCGGTGGCAAATTTTCAAATTCAAATGAACTTCGTCCCGTGATAATCTGAAAAAAAAATTATTTCAATTTTTTGACAGATTAACCAACAGTTCTTGGGAGAACACAATATTTACCTTATTCAATCGAGGATATCCTTCGATTTCAATGCTCAGTTCGTAAGAAACTGTTCCATAATTCAACTTCTCGTCGGGTTTCCATTTCAAAACCAACTTTTTTGATTCCTTGTGTTCTTCGAAATGTATCGAACTTCTCTTAATCGGTTGCGAAATCGCTCTGATTTCATCTTCAGACACGAATCCGTCTGAGAAAAAAAATGTTGAAAATGCATGTTTGAAGTCGGGAACTTTGGTTTTTGGAAATTTGAAATCACCTGGTAAAGGTCGTGAGTGAACAAAAGCAGCACCGAAAGCAGTCAACTTTCCGAATCTTCCTCCCGAAGTTGGCCTGATTTTGATCTTTGCCAAATTCTTGAAATTCGAGTCGCCGATCACAATAAACTCATCCGACTGCAACCAGGCGAACCTGTCTTGAAAATACACTAAAGGCCCTGGAATAAAAAATAAAATAAATACGATAACTTTACTCGAGTAACGCAATGAATAAAATACTAACCTTTGAAATCTTGCGCGAAAATCGTCGCATCATTTTCCTTGGTTTTGTTATTCTCAAAGCCTCGCAGAAAAGCATGGTGAAAAACGACACCTTCTGCACTTCTCACCATCCAGTGAATTTTTCCTTCGTCGAAATTCAGCGTCATGCCGACGACTGTTGAAAAATCGAAACAATTAAAAAAATTATTTTTTACTTACTCGAAAACCCCTATACAATTAATATTTCAAAATTTTTCTGTCGTGCATTTTCCCTGTTTGGAGCATCATAACATCATTTTCTAAAACTACAATTTTATAATTTCTTGACCCCTTCACGCAGGATTTTTTCCCTAGTTAAAATTGAAAGAGAAAAAACTGAAAAACGCAGATCTTCATTGAAACTTTGAAATTTAAAATATTTAAATGCCTCACTTCCATTTTTATAAATTTTCAAGCGTTCGAATTGCTTCAAAAAATTCCAAAAAATCTGAAAATCCTCCTATTAGCGACGTTTTATGAAAATTTGAGAACGTGTTTCAACCTTTAAATATTCTGATTTTTGCGTTAGTATTGCTGAATTATTTGAATTTACCCACTTTTGAGCAAGAATCAGCGGACACAATCATGAAAATTTGCAAATAATGAACACACATTTGCTTCAAGTCTCGTAATAATGAATTCTCGGCGCACAAAAATCAGTCAAAAACAGAAGGATTCTTCTTCGAAATTTGGAGGCCCGAAGAATTAAATTTTTAAAAAGATTTTTACTATACTTGAACAGGAAGAATTAAAATTTCTCGTCAAGTGTCTAAAATGTACCTCTTTTTCCGGAATAAATATCTTCCCGGAAATAGTTGACAGGGTTCGAGCCATTTAATGCCGCGGATTCGACAGTGTTGACAGTGGAAAAGTAGAGAAATCCTCGCACTGGATCCAACGTCAATGTCGACACGATGCCGGAAAGTGGGAGAAATTCCGTCGAATTCCCATTCAGATCCGAACGACAAATCTTTCAAAAAAAGTAACAACGATAATAAACATCATCCACTTTCAACCATTATTTTTTTCTGAATATATACTAACGATTAGACGACTGGAATCCGACCAATAAATTTTCCTTCCGATCCAATCATAAGCCACAGCCGATGCCGACGACACTTGACCCAACTTCGTCATCTTCTTGGTCCTCAGGTCAAACCACAGCAAATCAGAGTCTTTCATTGCCAGCAAAACCCGATTCTCGTCAGCAGTGACAATGGATTTCACCGGAAATGTGTTGGAAAAATCCTGAAAAGAATTTCAACGCATGTTTTCAAAAGTCTCCCAAGTGAAAAATAAAATGTGTCCAAAAATGTCTCACTTCAAAGAAGGCACTTGGATAAACGTCTGTTTTCCCAAAAACATCTGAAACTCCAATCATTTCGTCAGATGCAACGATGAATTTTGGCAATTGAACCAGTTGTTCATTAGGAAATGTTTTTCCTACGAAATTTTCTGACCATGGGCCGAATCCTCCGCCTTCAGAATATGCTCGAACCTTTGGATGATGCAAAGATAAAAAAAATATTTGATCAATGCAAAACCGAAACCTTTCTTCAATTGCATTAATTATATCTGACCTTGATTGAGTAAGTTTCGGATGGCCGAAGATTATCAGTGAGGTAAGACATGCCTGTCAAATTCACTGCTGATGATGTTGCTGAAGTTCCAAGTACAGAGTAACTGACTTCATATTTCCAATCACTCCAAGATCCTTCACCTTCAAATATAAAAAATAAATGTTTTTTTCTTGAACTGTATAGAATAATAAACCACTGTTGTCTCAAGTCAGTGAGCAATATCTGTTTTAACTGCTGATCAGGCAATGACAATGTTGTGGTTTGAGAATTGCTTGATTTTATGCTGATGACGTTTGGAGATTTACCATATTTACTCAAGTACCATGCGCACCTTTTTTCTCAAATGTCAGAAGAAATAAAGGAGTGTGCATCATAAGCAGGTACACATTTTTCAAGAAGTTTTAGGAAGTTATGTGTGCATTATACTTGATTATAATGGAGAAATTTCAAACAAATGCAACAAGAAAACTTTTTTGTACTAAAAAAGTTGAAAATTGATCCAATTTTTGTTCAATTCACGTCTAAAGTCAAATTTTTTTGTTTGAAATTTTGTGGCTTTAGATTCACTAAAAATTGGGGTGCGCGTCTTACTCGGGTATACAATTTTAGCCAAATTTCCAACTGAAAAACCCTTGTGCGCGCCTTACTCAAGGGCGCATGGTACTTAAGTAAATACGGTAAATTGTTTTCCACAACTTCTGAAGGAAATACAAAAGTTACTCTGTGAGAGTTAAAAGTAATTTTCATTGTACAAATTCACACAGATACCAACAATAATAATGTGTTCAGCAGAGCAACGATGACAAGGTAACCTGGCACAGTCCAAATGCAGTAAACTTGCAACACATAAAGAGAAACCTGTATTTATAACTTTGCCAAGGTCAAACAATGCGCATATCAACCAATGCGGATTGGTGTCATCATACTTTGTTGCACAGCAAAAGAAAAGAACAAGAACAATCTAGAAAGGAATTCTGAATAGCAATGGGATGTTGAAATAATTACTTGGGCACCAGGCACAGCCAAGCATACAGCAGAGCATTAAATAACCAGGCCTTTTTTTGGAAGTGTATTTATATTTTAGAGCCAATATTATGACTACACCAGACTACAGTGAGACCCCCACATGCAGACACCTTGACATGCGGAAAATTTAACATAGGGACACATTTTCCCATAAAAATTAATAAAAAAAGACCCAACATGAGAACACTGACTCAACATAGGGACTTTTTGTGATAAAATTGCATATAAGTTTCAGGCCAAATTACAAGAAACAGATATTTCCAACCCTAAAATTGATGTAAGAAAAGTTCTTATTGGGCATTTCACTCACCAAATTACCATCCATTTAGCTAATTTTAAAAAATACCTCCAGCATAGAGGGACTTCTACTTTTTTCACTTATTGCATGCTATTTTTACAGAGAATGCCAAAATTTCCATGTTCTGTACAAAGGCATCAGTATTCAATTCCCCAAATGTCCATATTGTGTTGAAATATATTGATTGAATCAGTTTAAATTGGGAGACAATTTTTATTTTCATGGAACCCTGGTGAGTATTTTGTCCATAAAACACCAATTAAAAATTATATAATGTAAGTCTATGGAAAATTGAGACTCAACTTAGGGACACTCTTGATGCACCAATTATGTCCCCATCTCGGGGTCTCACTGCATTGCAATTGTTATTTTTCATCATTTGTCAGCTTGTATATATACTCCATACAAATAGAGTTAATAGACTCACCAAGAGCATCAGACACAATCGGCGGCAACCAAGTGACCTCGGCAGAATTGGCACCGAAAAGGACCTCGACAGCCTTCGGCGCTGTCGCTGGCACTGGCACAGGCTGACTCGACACGTGATACAAGGCGATTCCTTGGAACCCAGAGGAGCTGCCATCTGTCGTCACTGGCCCGAGAAACGCATTGTGGGACACTGCAGTTCCGTCGCCGTCTTCGTAGAAAACTGCACTTGGGGTTGTCCAGAACAATTGGCCCGAATGGTAACATATGTCTGTGACCTTGTCCAGGCCGGACTTGATGACCAGGCTGGACGGCCTGACGTCTTTTGCTGTCGAACCCCTGAATTTAGCCAGAAATAATAAAATTTAAAAAATACGAACCGTATAAAAAAATAAATAAAATATGAAAGTGAGAAGCAAAAGAAGAATTCACAGTATGAATTTGAAAAAAAATTGAGACAATATTATTTCAATCATTCAAACAGCTATGAAATAAAACGCTGTTGAATTCATGAATCCTGACATCTAAAAATTGTGGAACTTACCCTTGGAAGGGGACTTCCAGCACAGTTTTGTTCCCGTGGTCAACAATCAGCAGAGAGAAGTTGGCGTGCAAAATCACAAAGGGGCCGAGGGAAGGGTGAACAAAAATTTCCTCGGCTTTGGCAGCAGACACGGCATTTAATTTCACAGCACCTAAATCCAGTCTTTTCAGATGTGACCCGTCGAACCCGTCTTCAACCCAGTAAATGTACCTGCAAATTGTTTGCAAAATTAAATCCGTGGAAAAGTTCAAAAATGTTATCAGTGCCGCCTGGAAATTTGGCTATTTAAAAATGAAAATTTCTGATTCAGAATAACCATCTTGTGGGATGAATCATACAATTCATACTGTACAAGATCGTTTTTCATTTGCTCATTTTTCATTATTTAAATACTGCCCTCATCAATATTCGCCAATACCGTAATTTATAGTCATTGTTTGCAATCAGGATCACGAGCACAAAAAGGGCAACAATAAACAAATTTTTTCGTTTATAATTTTAATCAGATCACGAACATTTTAACTAGTCAGGTTGGCAAGTCAAATTTAGACAATTGGATGAAACATCTTTTGATGGGCATTCCTTTCTAGTTTTTTTTTAGTGATCTAAAATTGGAGAAGTGACCTGGAAGCTATCTACCATAATTTTAAAAATTCAATTGCATTCGACATCCACAGTCAACAAGACTCCAACCCAGAAAACGTACACAACACTTACAAAAACGTATGAAAAAAATCCTCTACATTGTTTCATCATTAAAAAAAAAACTCACCCAAAGACCATTTCGACCCTAAAAAAGGTCGGGGTTCTAGCGCCAAAATCCCTGATGACGGACCTCAGTCCACTTTTCCCATCATAACTGCATTGCCAAATTTGCCATCTAGTGCTTTTTGAGTTGTTGTCAAAAGTACCAGTGAGAACATACAACTGTTTCCCCAGCCAGTCCACTGACAGCTTAGTCGCACGACCTCCAAGATGACCTGGGGTCAGGATTGTGACCAAAGGCGATACGTCTGTAGATGTCACTGATGCTGAATACACGTAGCCATCCGTGTCTGACACAAAGTATGTCCCTGTTCTTGCATCCATATCCACATCTGCCAGAAATGAACAAGGTGATCAAAATATCAAGAATTGAAAAAGCAAATCTCAAAAGAGCAATTTTCAAAAGAGCAAATTTAAAAAGAGCAAATTTAAAAAGAGCAAATTTAAAAAGAGCAAATTTAAAAAGAGCAAATTTAAAAAGAGCAAATTTAAAAAGATTAAATGTAAAAAGAGCAAACTTAAAAAGAGTAAATTTAAAAAGAGCAAATTTAAAAAGAGCAAACTTAAAAAGAGCAAATTTGAAAAGAAGCTTATGTCAGAAGAGGAAATTTCATCAGAGCAAATGTCAAAAGAGCAATTTTCAAAAGAGCAAATTCCAAAAGAGCAAATTTCAAAAGAGCAAATGTCAAAAGAGCAAATGCCAAAAGAGCAAATTTCAAAAGAATTTTATGTCAAAAAAGCAAATTTCAAAAGAGTAAATATATAAAAAAATTGAATGCATCAAAAGAGCAAATATCAAAAGACAAACTATAAAAATATTGAATGCATCAAAAGATCAAATATCAAAAGACAAACTATCAAGAGAGCAAGTTTCAAAAGAGGAAGTATTAAAAGAGCAAACTCAAAATTAATACTCTATTTGCTCTTTTGGTATTTTCTGGTAAAAATAAGAATTTAAAAAATGTAAATATCAAAAGAGCAAGGTTTCAACAAGCATCAGGAAGCAATCGTGCAGCCGAAAAACGGAAAGAAAAGTGAAAAAATTTGCGAAATTCGGATTGTAAAGTTCTGAATGGATTTGGAAATTGTGCAGCTTATATTACTTCTATATCTTAATTTTTATAGGGACAATCACCAATTACTTTCGCACAAGAAAAACTTTCGTACACAGTTTATTGAATCAATTCAAAATATTATTTCAGAATTTTGAGATATTTCTTTAACTCTGCGATGTTTTGATCACGTATCACCTAATTTTTTTGTAGGACTCATTTTTTTAAATGTTCAGTGAAATTAGTGCTATTTTAAATTATCTGCTTGTCAATAATTTGAATTAAAAAAACACACAAAAAATGAAATAATACTCACCAAGAAACCCGTATGAAGCATCGTCACTTTTCGCCCTGTGCAAAATGTACGGCTCGGACCAAACTTCAAAGACGTCTTGCAAAAAAATCCCTGTTCCTGCAGTGAATATCAAATACGGAGGATCTGCCGAACTTTCTGCAAAATAAGTCAGATATTTCAAATGTTGCTTAAACGTCCCTCAGGAATTTCGAAGAAAAAACTTGCCATGAATCATGGGCATGGTTTGAACCTGTTGTTCTGCCCACGGACCTTGTCCTTCCGCATTATTTGCAGCAATCTGAATTTTGTAAACAGTGTTGGGATGCAAATCTGCGAATATGTGATGGCGTTTCTCACTCGCCGCCAATTCCTGTGCGAATGTTGTTCTGCCCACGGACCTTGTCCTTCCGCATTATTTGCAGCAATCTGAATTTTGTAAACAGTGTTGGGATGCAAATCTGCAAATATGTGATGGCGCTTCTCACTCGCCGCCAATTCCTGTGCGATCACGAAAAATAGAATTAAAACATCAGCGCCTACTTCCTAAAATGAATAATAAATAATTGACTCACTTTGACTACGGCAAAATCTTTGCCATCCAAGGAACGTATAGTCATGGAATATGCCAAAATTTCCCCGTTGGGCAAAACAGGCGGGTCCCAGGTCACAGAAACCTTCGTTGCATCCATGGCAGACGAGGTCAGTATGACTGGAGCCGACCCAGGTTTTCCCCC